GTTTTAAATTAAGAATGTTTCTTTATTTGCAAAAAAAGTATTTTGACTAAAATGTTGTGAATTTGATATTAGAGAAAATGTATTGAATTGTTATGTACAAATGTGTATATTAACTAAAAGAATTTCAATTTTAATTATGTATGAAAAAAAAGAAAAGATAATATATACAAATGTATTTCAATATGTATTAAAAATGCTTTTTAAGTTAATTGTGTATAAAAAGTATTTTGTTATTTTTATGTACAATATATATTTCAAAAAAGGATGTTTGAACCATATGATAAAAATGTATTTTATTTAAATTGGTATTTTACAAGAAACAAAAAAAAGTAAACATTTGTTTATAAAATAAAATAAAAAAAAAGAGTTAGTATTTTACAAGAAATAAATAAAGAAGTAAATATTGTTTTTATAAAATAAAATAAAAAGGGTTAGTATTTTACAAGAAATAAATAAAGAAGTAAATATTGTTTTTATAAAATAAAAGAATGGTTAGTGTGTTAATGGGCTTTGGGGTAATCAGAAAACGGGTCAGGCCCTTATCAAGCTTGAAACGAAATTAGGGTTAGGGAATTGGTTCAGTTTGGAACGAAGGTTAGGGTTAGTGAGGCAGCGACGGCGCGTTCGTCTTCTCCGTTCACTTTCTGAGCAGCTCGACTCCGGCCACCAACGTCATTCACACACTCTCTTCCCTCCAAGGCAAGAATTCCACATCCTCTTGAAACAAGGTTAACTTTTGTTGTTATGTTTTCCTCTTCTTTTCTGGATTCGCGTGTTTTACTTTGAGTTCTTATTTTTTCGTTTTTTATGAGGTGAAGGAGAAGAGATAGAAGGCTCGTTACCTGATTTTTGGAGATGGAGGAGAGAAGAGGGGTGATGCTTCAGGAGGCCGGAACGGCGGAGAGAAATGTGACGAAACTTTGAGCTTTCCTGGTATTTTCGTTCTTTTGATATGTTAGGGTTTTGATGATGATGCTAGATTTGCCTGAAAACCCTTCTTAAAAACTCACTTTTTTTATCTTCTTCTTCCACTATGTGTTGATTGCCTGAGTATTTGCTTGAGTATTTGCTTGAGTATTTGCTTGAGTATTTGCTTGAGTATTGTTGCCTGAGATGCCCAGTGATGATCTCTAAGATCTGAGGGCCTATGTTGCCTTGAATACTTTTGTTTTCCTCTGAGCCCCTGATGCCTATGCTTCTGAACTGGTCTTGAATGTTCTTTGAACAGTTGTTGCCTATGGAAATATTATTTTCTTCTATGTCCCTGAGTTGCTTCTTTCTTCTTCTTCTCTCGAACGGCTATATGCTTGTTTGGTTGGTTTGGATATGTTTGAGCTAGACAGGCAGTTTGTTGGTATTTCTGAGTTTTGTATTTGGGCAGGGTTGATGTTTTGTGATTATGGCATTGTGTTTCTGGTTATGTGTTTGACAGGGACTTAGCAAGGTTTGAGATGTTCAGTTTAAGGTTATGGTGATTTAGTTCACAAGCTTTTGGGTTTTTTGAGGCTAATGGACAGTAAGTTGGTTTTGCTTATCAGGTTTTTGTGTGTTTTTGAAGGTTGAGGCAGGGTGTTCTGAGTTTGTATGTTAGCTTGGCTTGATAACTCAGTTTTCAGGTTATGGTAGTGCTTATCATGTTTTTTGTGTGTTTGAAAGTTGAGGCAGGGTAATGGTAGTTCTGGTTTTTGTTTGCCTGATGCAGGCAGCAGGTTATCAGTTGGAAGCTTCAGTTTGTGACTTTTTTTTTATTGAACTGAGTTGTATATTTTCTTTTTTATCCTAACCTCTCTTCTGAACTGTTTTATTGGCTTGGCCCCTTGTATATTATGCAGAGTTGTGTGTTTTGTATCTTTTTCCTCTCTATTCTCACCTCCCTACTGAACTGTCTTGCATTGGATTTGTATATCCTTTTTTGCTATCTTGCTGCTTATGCCTACCCTGCTATGCTGGACTGAGCTTTCTATATCTTTTCTGCTGTCCTACTGCCTATGCCTAACCTGAACTATGCTTCTATTATCTCTCTCTTTCTCACTTTACAGTACAATAAAGAATTTTATAATGTTATTATTGTACTATGTTCTGAAGGGGTTTGACTAGGGAAATGATGATTTAAGATGTTTAGCTTGCATACCACATTTTCTGCATCTTCTTTATCTCTCTTTTGACAGTTTGTGTGCTTTTTCTTTTCCTTGATATCTTGGCCAAATCTTTTCATGACAGCTTGTATGCTTGGGATTTGACAGCAATTGTACTTCTTGCTTCTTTCTTTGAGTAAACTTTTGGCAGTAACTTGCCTTTTGCTTTGGATGGAAAGTTGAGATTGGATTTTTCAGTTTAGTTTGGATTTTGGATTTTGAATTTCTATGCAGCTTGAAATTTGTAACTTATGCATTTTTTGACATTTGCATTCATGAATAAAAAATCTTCCCTCTCTGTGAACCGGGAGAAATCCCGTGATTTGCAGAGAGGGTCAACTGATCCCAGTCAGTGGCCCCTAATGATGAGCAATATTTTATCTGTCTCTTTTAAATGCCTTCTGACTTTTCTTGTTCTTTTCGCAGATAAAAAATGGAGCACCGGAGCGGAGTGAAGAATGAAGAATATTAGAAAATAGGATAGTTTTAATTTTATGTAATATTTAAATTAATGTATATTATTGTTCATAATTTAAATTATAAACAACAATTTGTACAAATAATTCAATTATTCAATAAAATCTAAATTATCCAATTAATTCCAATTTACTTTATTGTTTATTTATTTATTTAAAATTCTTAGAATTAAAACAATTGAAAAATAAATTCAATCATTCAATTTCAGAATAATAAATAACTAAAATAAAACAACATTGATCAATTAATCCTGTCTTATTCAACATCCAAAGCAAAGCAGCAATCAATCCAAGTAGACTGATCAAACACATAAACACTGTGAATCCAATACTGCATCTTGTATCTGACTGGCCCAATCAAGACGTACTGAATTCAAACCACTGTCTCTTTTACTGATTAAACCAAGATAACGCGAATTTTAATCCGAATCTTGAAATAAACCGCAAAGTGCTGTGGAATTTAAATTCTTCTGAGAATATGCCCATAAAACCCTAATTCCCGATTAAATGCCAAATCACGCTCGCTTGATCAAAATTGAACCAAAAAATCAACCAAACCCTAAGCCCACTGTATGAAACAATTCAGAGCTCTGAAAATCAATAAAAACCCTAGTTTTGCTTGACTGTCAAGAAAAGTCCATTTGTCCGATTCTTGAGCCAGTTTGAAAAGTCAGGAAATGTTTGAAGCTGAGATTTCTTGAGGAAAAATGCGAGGGCAAATTTTGGGGTACAACACACTCTAATACTACAAAATTATTTTTCAAGGTAAAAGACACCAATCAATTCAAACTTCATTTTTTTCGTTTGGCTTTTCTTTTAAAAACCCTTTTCAAGGTAAAAAAACATACAATAAACCGAAACATGTGAGCTGAACTACAACGCTCAGATTCCTCGAAAGGGATACGTAGGCATTAGATCGCGGGGCCTAGGCGAATAAAACTTTGTAAATATTCATTCTTTTCCCCGTATTTTCTTTCGCATGCATTCCCTCTTAGCATTAAGCTTTAGACATATATTTTTACACACCCTTAAATTAGAGCAAACTTAAGTGGATCCTGTGGAGTACCACAGACGCGTAGCATGCTATTACTTTCCTCTCATGTAACCGACTTTCGTACCCTATCTCTTGGTCGCAAGACCATCTTATCCATTTCTTTGGAGTTCTCTCGATATCTTCCCTTCCTTCGAGATAAACAGAGTTCAGTGGCGACTCTGTGTTTTTTTCGCGGCGCGACAACTGATTCACATATGTGAGATTATCCAAATAATATTCTTTGCAGGAACATTTGCCAAGTCGGTATGTCAGTTATGGAAGTCTAATGGCTACACGAAAGTTACGAAAATTGAAGAGGGAAGCATTATACCCTCATGATGGTGACAGCGAACGTTAGAATTAATTTTTTAAATGTTATACTTGAAGGGACACAACTCCAAAAATACGGGGCCAAAGATTTATAATAAAAGGGATTTTCTATGGAAGACAAGACAATCATACAAAAATTACAGACAAGCCAATAACCTTATACACAACTGTCAAGATCTCACCTGATTAACTTCGAAAAATTATTCAAAAATGTTTTTCAATATATATATATATATATATATATATATATATATATATATATATATATATATATATATATAACCATAAACTAGAATTATTATAAATTAATTAACAAAAATCATAAAATGAAGAAGAAAGGATGGAAAGTATATATGATTTTTTTCAATAAATAATTCTTTGAATTGATTTAATCCATTCTGTTTTTAATAAGGAAACTGACAAATCACAATAAATATATTTTATTTTATATTTACAAAAAGTTTATTGATTAACTGTGAGTTTCTCACTTTTCACTTATTGGAAAATAAACTTCATTTTTTATTTCCTTTTTATTTATTCAAAACCAAGACTACCGCCTCTGGAATTTCTGACATGATAATTTAGACTGAAATACAAAGAATGATGTATTATAGGATAAAAAATTTATAATGAAAAAGAAACATTTAAAAAAAATTATAATGAAAAAGAAACATTTAAAAAAAATATAACATACTAATATTAATATATAGGTTTCTCCTCTATTCTCCTTTTTTTTTTAGTATTTCAGATAACTTTTTATTCTTTAAAAAATACATATTTTAATTTAGTATATTAAATTATACATCTATGTTGACTCATTAATTTATAAAATGAAACTTTCTAAAAGGCAAACTATAAAAAATAGTTGACTCATTAATTGATTTTTATTTCAAATATAATATTGATTTTTATAAACTATTATTTTCTTTAATCAAATTTGTTAGTATATATTTCAAACTATGCACCCACATTATCATATCTCATTTCAACATTTATTTCATCAGAGTTATATTTGGTTCTAAAATAATGACTATGCTACCATACTCCAACGCTAATAATGATTTTTCTTCCGGTGGATTTTTCGTGTCACATCAACCACGGCAGTGGCAGAGACATGTTCATGTTTCAAACACATTAAGTTCTCTTACCCTTATTACTCTATTGGAGAAGCAAGAGCACGAGACAAACCAGTTTCTCAGAATTCAGGTCAAAATTCACATTTATCATGATTTAGGATTAGGTTTCACTTCAAAAAAATAACTTATATAAAATAATATTTTCTATTCAATGAATATTTCTATGTCCATTCTAATGAATATTTTTGGTATTTTACAGAATAATAAATTAAAATTCATGTTACAGTATCAAAGGGAGTTACAAGAGGGTGCAATTAGACAGATGGAAATTTATTCACAACAGATTCTGAAAAGAATAGACGAAGAAATTGCCAAAGGTGCAAAGAAAAAACAAGAGTTGGAAAATATCTTAAGGAGCTTAGAGAATGAGAAAATGAAATTGAAGAGAGTGGCTGAAGAAAAAGAAGCAATGGCAATAGATCTCCATAACAAGTTGGAAGAGGGGAAGAAGAGAGTAAGGATGTTGGTAGCAAATAATGATGCGGAATCATGTTGTGGTGAAAATGAAGAAGCAAGAGCTGAAAAACGTGTGAGACAAGGAAGTAACAATAGCATGTGTTGTCCTATGTGTAACACAAACTCTCCTGGTGTCTTATTTTTGCCATGTAGGCATATATCTTCATGCAAAGCGTGTGAAGCTTCACTCCAAGCTTGTCTCATATGTGGAGTAGCAAAGAAAGGTGTTATTGAAATTCAAAATTTTGTTTGAGACGAATATTAGTCTTTGGAAAACCAAATGTAATATCTTTGTTTGAGTATGCTAGAATAGCATAACATGATGATCTGAGCTGAGATGGATCTAGATGTCTATTCAACGGGTCCATAAATATTTTTGTAAATTTTATAATAAATAAAAATTACATTTGTTTTTTCAAAGAAAATAAAATTAGTTATATAATTTGAACTTAATTTATGCACGAACATTATTAAAAATTTAAAGTCAATCAATTTAATCGTTAAATTATTAAAAAATATTTTTTATTATTTTTATCGCTACTAAAACACATTTAATTTAGATTAGATATGAAGCATTATTTCGGTTTTAAATCTAATGTAATAAAGGGTGTAATAAAAAGGTGCGTTACTTTATCTAATGGTTTTTGTTTTACGGACGAATAACATATAAAAGTTATGGATTTAATCTCTAGGGAGATCCTCTTTAGAAATTTTTAAATCAAAAAATCACTTTTCTTCTTAGTTATAACATTTAACCTTTGAGCTAAACATGATTGAGTTTATCATATCTAATATTATTTTATAAATTTATTAAGTTTTAATTAAACATATAACTTCTCAAATTGGTTAGGGAAATAATTATATGAATAATTATATTATATTTGAAGAACAACTTAAACTAATCAATAATTTCCTAACATCGTGTAACTCATCATTCATCTCACATTCTTTAATGGTTAGAATCTTTTTAATGTTTCAAGTTCTATATTTAATACTTTCTTTTCTATTAATTCATTATTGAAATCATAAATTTTATGTTTTTAAAAATGAACAAGTATGGAAAAAAATTGAACGAAAACTAGAAGTATTTGAGAGATTTCAACCATAAAAAACATGAGATGAAAGATTAATTGCAGAATGCTAGAAAAACATTCAGCAGTGTAAGCTATGTTTCAAATACAACATAATTTTTCATATTATTATTTCCCAAAATCAATTTAATAGGTTATATGTTCAAAGAGGGTTAGTGAAACAAACAATCGACATTAGATATAATAAACTCAATTTTATTTTTTGTCACTATAATATGCTTTTGACATGTTCAACGAAATAAGATGAAAGTTGCACAAAGAATCACAAAAAATAATCTCAATGTCAATCTCAAACTCAAACTTAATAACAACAACTAAACTACAATGTATAGCTTTTCATAACATTGGAAAGTACAACAAATAAACAACAACATCAACAACTAAAAAAATAACTTACATTAAACAACAACTAAAAAAAATCTCTCAACAAAACTACCACTACGCCGGAAAAGACTTACGAAAGCGTTTTTTTTTTTGCCTTTAAAAGTGCTTAAAAGCGCTTTCGTAGGTGGCGCTGCTATAGGTTTTAGCAGCGCTTTCTGTTTAATGAAAAGCGCTTTCGTAGGTCTACCTAATACAACACTTTTTCTAAAAAGCGCTATCTTAAGTAGGCTTTTGGCAGCGCTTTTTTATGAAGAAGCGCTTTCATAGGTCTACCTAAGGCAACTCTTTTTTCTGGAAAAGCGCTCTCATAAGTTTTCTTTTAGCAGCGCTTTTTTCTGGAAAAGCGCTGTCTTAGGTAGGCTTTTAGCAACGCTTTTTTCTGGAAAAGAGCTTTCATAGGTGGTCTTTTAGCAGCGCTTTTGCCTTGAAAAACGCGGTCATATGTTTACCTTAGACAGCGTTTTTTGTGAAAAAGCGCTTTCATAGGTTACCTAAGACAGCGTTTTTCTTGAAAAAGTGCTTTCATAGGGTGTTTTTTTTAGAGGTATAATTTATATAATTCATATACCTGCATTGTTTGCAGCATATTATTTATATAAACCAGTTGTCATAACCTGTAATTCATAAACTGCGGTAATGCATTGTATACCATTGTAATCCAAAATATATATACACCATTTTTGTACCTCAAAATATATAAAAACCATTGTTATCAGCATTGTAACTCAAAATCAGTCTTACAAAATCAACCCTAACAACAACTAAACCAGTCATAATGTATGAAAGAAACACGGTCAATTATGTATTAAGGTCCTGGTCCTGTGAGGTTTGAACATAATAACACGGTCAATATGGTATTCCATGTACACATGTAACGTATTCATAACACTTTTCACATAATAATGTATTCATACCTTATATGATTCTCTACTCAATAAAATATTGACACAATTCCTCTTTGATTTCTTCCAACTGAAGTTTCGTGTAATATGCACATTTGTATTCATCGAAGTACTACATAACAAAACATAATATGCATGATTTAGTTAAAAGTAAAAAATTATATGAAATATCCGAGAAATAATAAAACAAATCCTAAGTTATAAATCCATACCGTGACTGGAATCTCTATTTGATTCAGTTGAAGGATTTCTTTGATAAACCGCATAACGAAGTATCCGCAATCTATACCGTTTTGCTGTTGAGGACACTACATAGACAAACAAATAAGAATATATAGTTGTATTGTTTTATCAAATAGCATAAATATTATAAGCAAAATAGTGAAAATTAATATACCTGCACTTTGATCCAATTAATGTTGTTTGATTTAGACCGTCGTACCCGAGCTTCTCTTTGACACCGGAATACTTGTATCGCTCTAACAAAATAAAAATATATATTTAGAACAATGTCACAGAAATAATTAAATATATAAATACACACGAATATTTAGAATAATCTTACTTACGTATCAATCATTAACTTCATATCCGGATAATTTGTCCAATCACCATCAACCGAATTCAGATAATAGACCACTTCTTTTATAGGATCGATAGCAACCAACAACCAGTGACGTCTATAAATTAAAACAACAGTTTAGAAAAAAAAATTATACGCAAAAATTACAAATATTAAAATGAACTTAGAATGAAAATCTAACCCTGTAGGAATAGTATTATACGCCCAAATATATAAGCTTTCTGTACTGCCAGTTGCCATGAATCTTTCGACAAAGTTCTCTCTTACTGAATCCGGTTCCCTACCAATTGTCGCTCCGCTGACACGGGAGGAAGACACAAAATGGAATCTGTTTGACAATTGATTCCCGCGCATCAATTTGTCATATAACAACCTTAAATAAAAACATAATTAATATTAGACTATATTCATTGAAATGTTTAAAAAAAAATTCAGCTAATTACATAATATAAAGATGGGATTACCGGATGTATGCGTGCATAATACTGACGCCTAATTCTTTATGACGGAAAATCTCTTCCACATCCTCATGTCCAATTATTTAGGTGCAAGGAAAACCAAAGATACCTTGATCCATATCCATTTGACGAATACCACCATCCATCAAATTTGTTGTTCCCGCTATTGTTTCAAGACACTGTCGGTATCGAGGGAAAAATCTAGTAGGAACCCTTTTCTTGGATGGTACGCCAACGATTTTCTGGCTCACTTGTCGTGACCCTTGAAAAGGTACCTAAAAATCATATAGACTCAGTTAAATTATAAAACTATGCAGTTTTTTATTCGGATCATATAATTAACACTTTAAACGTACCTCTTTTTGTGATACATCAGACTCGTCATGCCGCAAAATCCCTTTACCCTTAGATGCGGGTTTTGTAGGAGTCTATAATTACCGTGGAAATAACTGAGGTCAGAACTGACAGTTGAAGACTTAAAGATTCATAATGGTTTTCAACATACCTGATCATCTATGAAAATGAGGTACGATGGCCATGCAACAAAAGATCCTATTGCATCTCGCAGCAATGTGGTCTCAGCAACAATGTCAGGTACCGGCAGCAACGCATCCATATCTAAAGCAATATCAACCGATACTTTCACGTGTCCCTCCGGAAAAAGCGCTGCTATAGGATACTTTTAAAAGCGCTATAAGATATTAAATATACAAGGAATCCAAAGCCCTCAGATCTCATAGCTTTATAAAATTCATCTTCGGCCTTAATCACAGGTTTTATTCATAACTATCTTGCACCTTTCAAAGTTGAGGTTATAACTAAACATGAATCAAAACACACACACACACACACAAATAAAAGGAGATGGAGATGGAGATGTGGAGTTAGAGAGACAGAGAGAGAGAGGGCATATCAGGTTATGAACAAAACCCATTAGCCACTCAATAGTCTATTTCTACATCATTGGGCAGGAAATCATTTAAAATTAAGGGAATGTAATTACACATGTCAGTTAAGATACGGATAAATAAACACAACAAGCAAGTAAACAAATTTAATTCAGAAATCTTGAAATTTGTTCTAACAGTATGAAATCATGAAAAAGACCAAAAATTGAAGAACATGCATGAGAAAAACCATAGTTTTTAATAATAAGTCATAACAAGGAAATGCAAAATCAAACATGATAGTAACAAACATGTAAAATACGATAAACAAATCAATCAAATTAAAGAAGAAAGCCTATATCAAATAGATGATCAGTGTATATACGAAAAACTGTAATGCAATGAGTCAGAAAAAGCTTTCTAGGCTTAGCATTTCCATAAAAACTGCTGTATAAAACTGCTCAGAGCCCAGTGCAAAAATCATCATTCACCAAAAACATGGCATAAAACAAATCCCATTAAACTCTTCTCAACCATAGAAAATTTGAATCACAACAGCAACCATTGATGAAAACAGAGGATACTGGTCTAATAAATTTCATTGAAATTAGCACACATACTTAAATAACACAAACTTAAATAACACAATTGAGAAATTGAAATTATCAGTAACAAACGGAAATAGATGTATCCAAAAGCCCTCATATCTCATAGCTTATAGAATCATCTACGGTTATCATCACTAGTTTCATTCACAACCTCCTTGTGTTCCAACACACGCACACAAACACACACAAGAACACACAGAGGGAGAGACTAAGAGAGAGATGAGAGAGTAAGATAGAGAGAGAGAGGGAAATGCAAAAAGGTTGTGAATAAAACCGTGTAACCGTTCAATAGTATATTGATACATCACTGGGCATAATAACAAAACCTAACTAACAATCA